AAAATTATATATATTAGGCTTAAATTAGGATTCTAATAATATTTTCAGAATTTTTAAATATATTTTATTTTTGTTGTTATTAGTTAAGAATGATAAGTACAATTTTTCGTTTAGGTGATATTCTGCGGAATTTTTTTTTTAGTTTAAGGGTTACAACTTACAACTAACGAGATTTTTGTTTAGTACTTACTTTAATAAATGAAAATGTAACACAAAACTTGTTTTTTTGTTCGATGTAATTTGTTTTTCGACTTTTGTTTTTCACTATGTCGACATGTTCATACAACAAGGAACAATAATGCTTCCTACTTATCAAATTGTGATCTTGTTAAACCACTGCTCTTCAAAATACTGTAGAAAATTGTGCTAATTTTCTAAATCAGGGGAAGTATCTACAATATGCCGCCAGTCTTCTGTCATATACGTCGGTGAAAGTAACACAAAATAAGAGCACAATCGTACTACTATATTTCTATCATATTTATATTCAAGACTATTGGAGGATATTTTCTTGACCAAGTGACATTGCATTGCCCTTTTTCCAAACTGGGGTGGTAACGAACAATAACTATAAATATTACAGATAAAAATTCATTTCAATTCAGATTGTATTTATATGTATATTGTTGTTCGGATTGTTAGGATACAATTTTTTGTGTTCAAAATTTAGGATTCAACATATTGCAAGTTCAACTTTTAGCAAACTCAACATTTTAGGAACTTGTCATTGTGGGTCCAGTAAATTCAACTTTTTACGAATTCAACATTTTGGGAGTCAACATTTTGCGAATTCAACATCATAAGAATCCAACATTTTGCAAATTCAACATTGTGGTCCAGAATGGTTATAATTACTAGATATACCAGATCTAATTTAATATGAGTACAAATTTCTTTAATAACATAAAAATAAAATAAGCGCAAAAGTTGTATTAAAGAAAATTATTACAGTAATTAAATTTTAGCATAACATGTGTGAATTAAAGGGACTTCTAATAGAAGTTTTGATGCAACGCAATATAATATTAAGGTTAAATGTCTAAATACATTACAATTCAAATTGATATAATTGATAAAGTACTATATGGTATTTATAAAGTTTGAGCAAATGTCGCAACTCACATCAAACATCTTTCATTAAACCGCTAAACGTTAAAATTAATTATTTGGTTGAAATCGCTGTTCTACGAGTATGATGCTGTAAATAAAATCTTTAAAACGTCTTAAAACTTGGATGAAATTTAACGAGCACTAGAAGTGGAGGAGCAGAAAGCAAAGTCAAAGCTATGTGATTCACAGTATAACGTGACTTTCTCAAAAGTGTTTTGATAAACAGACAACTTTAGCGTAGATAGAGACTGCATCAAAGGCAACGTCTCACATCGCTCGTTACTCGTTAGTACTTGATAAACATTCGTCTGATCGATGTCAATATTTTTTAATAGAGTAGGTAATATTTACTTATCAATAGTATACTAATTTGTGTGACGTATTAAAACTGTGTATTAGTTATTAGAATAGTATAGTAGCTATAATAAATTCATATAATCTCATAAGCAAGTCCATCTTATACATAAGTATTTTTCTCTTCTTCTATTAAATATATACCTAAATATGTTGGGACGTTAACACACAGTACCATCTAGTTCCATGGTAAGCTACGAGGCTTGTGTTATAGATACCAGATAGTTGATACACTACAGATATGTAACTTTAAATACATACATATTATAAATCTAAACATCCAAGACTGGAACACAAACATTCGTGCTCATCACACAAATGAATGAGTCCCAGCGGGACTAGAGTCTAGAACCCGCAACCGCTGGCACAGCAAGTAGGGTCACTACGAAATAAGCTAAACGTGTCGTCTATTAATTATATGTGCCACAGACGAAATAACGCATTATTTTATTTCGGGTAACCAAAGAATACACGCGTAATTCCTACAACACATTGTTTCCCCAAATCAATTCTGAACCCTTCAACGCGTACCCTAACACGTATCATCCCTTCGCGCTTTCTATTTACGTAAAGGAATTTTTAATAACACCCCACTCACTTGACGTGGCTTTGACGGTTACACAAAAAATCCCGAACGGGGGCGTTGCTTACAGGGGCTTTGTTTCTGCCGAGAACAACACAAAACAATTTGAATTATACGAGTATAACATAATATATATTTGTACAAGCGTCTATATCTACACTGCGCAATCAAACTCTTATTCATAATTTCTTTCTGCAATGTTTTTTTGTAAAGTTATAAGATTTTCTGAGCTTAACAAGAAAGCTGTGAAATATAAAAAGAGAAATTTACTTAGGCCGGGCGTTTAAGCAACTTTATCTATTCAGGTTAACTCGTTTTAAACGTAGGCGCGCGTGAAAATCTTAAGCGCTCTTCTGGTGGAACGTAGAATACTTTTTCATTATAATATTCACAATATATTTAAATGTTTATTCTGCAAAAGCTGAATTATACTTTAATATAAACTTAGAATTATTCAAGCCGACAATGAAAGCTTGTTAAATAGGGTAACATTTGAGCCAGCTCAGACATTAAAATTCCGGACCCAAAGTGGTTGTTGGTCGAAAATAAACCCGTTCGACGACACGTTTGGCTCAGTTTGTAGTGACCCTACTTGCTATGCCAGCGGTCGCAAATTCGAGTCCCGCTGGGGGCATTCATTTGTGTGATGAGCACGAATGTTTGTACTCCAGTCATGGGTGTTTAAATTTATAATAAGTATGTATTTAAAATCATATATGTATGTGTAGTATATAAACTATCCGATATCCATAACACAAGCATTGTAGCTTACCATTGAACTAGATGGTGCTGTGTGCTAATGTCCCAACATTTATTTATTTATTTAAACTAAAATTAAAAAAAAATATTTTATATTATCCTTAGGTTATATCCACTTTTTAATGGTAGAAAAATCCTTAAATTAAGGAAACGTTTCGTATAATTCGCAAGAGGAAAAGCATAACGTCTAGAACAATTAAAGAACATTTTTAGCATTTTTTCCACCAGTTCTATTACTTTATGGCAAATATTATATTTCTTTACGAATATTTTAGTACTAGAAGTGTATAGTAATATATATATATATATATATATATATATATATATATATATGTGTGTGTGTGTGTGTGTGTGTGTCTACTAACTACTAAAACGCAATCATTTGATTAAATCAAAACTACACCTTAAGCTCCTCACACTAGGTGGCCATATATGTATAGTGCATTTATAGCAGTAACAGTTTTCATTTTGTCGCTTTCCTTACACTATAAACGTCACATAAGTTTTGATCAAAAACTTGGCACCAAAACAAATATAAGTGCCTGCTCCTAGGCGTCAGTTTCTGAGGAACGAAATCTACGCAAACAGGGTTATTGCTCTCGTGAGTCACCAAAGCAAGCCAAATAAGTGAAAACTACGTGTTTATAGGTCACTATTGAAGGATTCAACTTAGCAACTTTTATCCATATCCATACTAATATTATAAATGTGAAAGTGTGTTTGTTTGTTTCTCTTTCTTATTGATTGGCGTGATTTTTTTGTGTGGAGACAGTTGTGTGAGAAGAGTGACATCGGCTACTTTTTACCACGGGAGATCATCTCATTCCCACGATAAAACATGACATAATACAACCCGAAAAATTATTTATGATCAGAATTACTTGAAACTTCGTATTAATGTTCTTCAATACAATTGACTAAATATTACATGTTTTAACATTTTTCGAAATTAATCCAATAAGGGGTTAAAATAGGGAATGAAAGTTTGTATGAAATCTACCTTTTTAAAGCTTTTTTTGTAGTTTTAGCGCGAGCGAAGCCGTGGGTTCTGCTAATATCATATAATTTTTATAACATTATTAAATTTCTAATTAATAAAGCGTTAAAAATTTAATTAACATCAACAATGTATTTTATTATAAACTTCAAGTAGGTACCTCCTTCTTCAATTATAACTCTCGATAAAAATTATATCTATTTATTATTATACATTTATACATACATATGTATATATACATGTAGTGTTACAAGTATTTACAACACGAACATAAATAATATTTTAAATTTACTATCCGCGCGTACATCTTGAAACCGTTTAACAGTATTTACACTAGCGGAGTTAAATATCGTCCAGTCACTAGATTTCGAACGTCGATAAAATTTGCTCTCACTGTGTATTTTCTTCGCACGAGAAGTCGGGACACGACGTAAAATATATTTAGATTGAATTGGCTCAGTACTATAACATACTATCCCTTGGGGTTATCGACAGCAAAATTCACTTAGCTATATAAAAAGAGAATTGGTATTTGTCATAAATATTTGAAGGAATACAATATACTCGTACACCAACTCGTAATAGAAGTTATAGATACTCTGGTATACTGGTTAAAATTGATGTAATATGTTTTTACCTTAAAAGTATTTATTCATATATTACAAATAGAAAAATGTGTATGTTTGTTGTTAACATAGTTTGAAACCCTGGGAAGGACATAGGATAGTTTTTATCCCGGAAATCATCCCTTAAGGGGGTGAAAATGGGGGTGAAATTTGTATGGGGAAGCAACTTGGCGAGGGTGAGCGCCTAGTCCCCTATAAGTTAGTTCTTTTGATAGGTACAAAACTATGAAACATTGAAAGAATATTTATCCACCACTAACGTTATTAGAAGTAGGAAAAGTTGCCAACGATGTAACCTGTCACAATATACGATTACAATACGTATAACTAATTGCATAACAATGTATATTTAGTAACTGAAACCTTACGAGTTAAGTGTATTTGATAATCTTATGAAATGTCTTTCTTCTTTATATAAAGAAGATAAGAAAAATATAAATATAATATTTTGCGTTTGCAAATTCTTTTTAAAAACCCTGGCATATTGTAGCGACGACACTATATTGTGTAATTTCCAGTATCCTTCGAAATACTTAAAATACTAAGTGAGTTGTATTGATAAGTAACTGACCTGTTTGTCCATATGCAAAGATGCATGCATTGTATCCTTCGAAGGCGTTGTCGAGGATATCCCGTCCGAGACATTCGAATACAGTCTTCTGCGAGGCAAAGTTTGGAAGTGTGGGTTCCAAAGAATAGAAACAATGATCGAAAGCGAATGTCTTTGGCTGTTTCCTAAAACAAAAAGAAATATTTTATTAAATTTTTGCAGATTTTTGGTTATATACATATGCATGTATAATATCTATACACATAATAAATTTGTAACTAAGCTGAATCTGTACATTCAATAAATTTTTGGAAAATCTTATTGAAACAGACATTATTATCCATACAGAGTCCGAATCTATAGTTTTCAGAATTTTAGTCTGTCTGTCTGTTACCGCATCACGAGAAAACCACTGGACAGATTTTGATGAAATTTGGTAATATGATAGCTGGTTATCCGGGTCAACATATAGGATAATTTTTACAGCGGGAAAATATCTCATTTCTGAGAAAAAATACAAAAACTGCAATGTAAGATTATACTAATATGTTTTTACATAAAAACCTAAGAATTTGATTTTTTATCATCAGAACGCGGGCGGAGCCGCGGGCAATGCTAGTTATTATATATGTATGATGATAGATAAGTATTAAATTAAATAATATATCAATAAAACCGAATTTAAGTTTGGATGTTGGAGGCAATCTCTGAAACCTGATCCCATTCTGAAATTTCTTTCACTAATGGAAAGCTGTATTACCGCCGAGTGCTATAGGCAATTTTATTCCCATAACAATGTGCTTAGAAAATGTATCAGAAATCGTAATGTGTTCAAATGTTTGTCGGCACTGATGTTAAATAAACTTATATTGAGATAAAACTGCCTACAATGCCTGGGCGTTTCACCTAATAAACAAAATTATATAAGGAGAGAAATTTCATGCCAACCGTGTTTCTATTACATTAAGCTAATGATATAAACTGGCATGTATATTGTGTATAAGGTCATAACAGAAACTAATTTATAAAATAATATATCTTTCATATATAACAGTAAACAAATATAATTATAAACATTTGTAGACAACCTCGTAACATCTCCTCTCTGCGTATTCCTATCTGGACATTGACCGTTGGGCTGTTACACCCACGTGTTGTCATAGATAAGTTGTTTTATATAGTACATTCCAAACATCGCATATACAAAATGAATCTGCAACATCCCGAATACTGGAGAATATCAGTCAAAGATATGCTTACACGACGCTACAGGGTTACTCCAATTTGTGATGCTGTTAACAGAAGGTACTTTGAATAACGAATACGAGAATTTACGTATACCTATACATTATTTTTTCATGCACAGTTAAAAAATTAGCAAATTTATTTTACATTAGTATGATTAGGTATACTTTCAATTCATATAACTTGATTTTTTCTTTAGAGTCATAGGTACAATGCTTTAAATTTAAAGCTTACTTATGACTCTCGACCTCCACATCATTCATCATAAACAAATATATTTTCAAAATTTTTATATAGGTACTGTATCGAAATGCAATTTTTTTCATAATGTGTAACCTATACGCTGTGTGCTAAAGGATTAAGGTCTATGGCTATACTGTCTAAAACATGGTTTCTTTTTATTGTTATTCTTCGAGTTACCTAATATGAATAAAACTATCTTTTCGGATTATTTCGCGGATTTATTTTGATTTTTGGTTCCCGACGTTTCGAATGCTTTACAACAAACATGGTCACGGGAGAGACTAAGGTTATATCAATCAATCTATCAAAATATACTTTATTCAAATAGACTTTTACAAGCTCTTTTTAATCGTCATTTTAAATTTAAATTAAATGTCAGTGTAGTCAGTCTGTGAGGAAGCTACCACCGGCTCGGAATGTAGTTATCTGCTGAGAAGAACCGGCGAGAAACTCAACAGTTGCATAGACGTCTCAAAGGTGTTATATACTTGTTACAGACAGTCCCTACCCACTTTTTAACAAAAATGATTTTTATAAAACAGTGGGTATGGTTGCTGTAAAGCATTCGAAACGTCGGGAACCTAAAATCTTAATAAATCCGCGAAATAATCCGAAAAGATAGTTTTATTAAAAATAATATATATATTTGCGTAAATCTAAGAAAGTAGGTCTATTACCTAATATGTTTGTTACTAATAAAACTGTAGATGTAATTCCGTCATTGTTACTTGTGGATGTAAGGAAAAAGGTAATAAAATACCACCAAGGCACGGTAATGTCATGTAACATTACCGTGACCAAGTAAATAATTTTTTTGCATAAAAGGAGCTCATGTGAAAGTTGTTAGATTCTCGCATATCGTACAATAGAAATCAATATTTACAAAAATCATTTTACTCGTATGACGCATACGCATATGTGGGTAATATGATTGTGATTTTTGGGTAAACGTTTTAGCTATATTCTTAAATTTTTCGTGCATTTTATGTTGTGTATTGGTGAAAAAATGCATACCGATTACGCTAGTATTTCTTGTTAAAGAAAAAGCAGCGAGAAAACTAAGTAAAATAGCGGGAGATTATATAGGTCTTTCGAACGGAAAAGCTCATTCTTATCCTTTTTTTCTGCAATCTCGTCAGCGAATCCACTGCAATTATTACCTGGGTCACAGCTTAGGAATTATTTCCTCTGTTCATGCTTGATTAAAAATAAAATTGTAACTTATTTTTATTTTACATTTAATTATGTAGCATTGTAAAATAGGCAATATTAGTGAATCTAGTTTTTAACATTAGACAATTTTGATCCTGGGTCTTATGGGTTTTATGTCACACCAAAGTCTAATAATATAATGCCATACAAAAAATAATCTCCATATACAAAATTACGCCAAAAATAAGAACAAATCGCCAAACACATTTGCATTTATAATATAGTAAAAATTATGTTCACAAGTCGTAATCACGATATAATAATGAATGTAAGTAATCTTTATCCCGAAATTCACTTAAATTATTGAGCCATTACAACGTGAAGAAGAAAGAAACACTCAGAAATTTTCCCATTTATGAAATTAGTGTAATTATTTTTATTTTCATGTGCAACATAATATCGAATATGAATCTACATTATTGAGTAGCAATTACTCAAATATGAATTGCAGTTTGGAAATCTCAGTCTTGGTCAGTGTCCGAAACGTCTAGACTGACAATGAGTAATTGATTGTGGACTCACACGTATCACTATCATGGATAACGAAGATTAAAGGCATTTGGTGAAGATTACATTACATTTCTAAATATCAGCTATCCATTGTTGAGCTAAAATATATTTTACTATATTTCTTTTAACAATGTTTAATAGAAGTAATTACAAAATAAGTATAAAAAACAAATAGGTATTTTAATGATGTCCCAGTAAATACTTTCAAGCGTAAGTTGAGAGGCAGAGCTGTAAGTACGTGATTTATTCTACATAGTTTTCTTATTATGAAAGATACAGTAGGTACTAATTCTTAATGTAGGTATATTTAACAAAATATCGTAATAACCTTTCCGTACGAAACAACCTTTCTGTACAAAAATGCACAAAATATTAGTGCAATATACATGATGAACATAAAGCCTCATTTTCTTGCCGATGCAAAGCAAATCTAATATGTTTCGATATGTAAAACACATATTTACCTATTAGTTATTCATATCTTAAAATATTGTTGACTGGCACCGACTTCGAAAATATCTGATTAGGTATCTATTCTAAATTAAAACGCCCGTTTAGTTATTTTTTACATTTTAGTGCCTTGAAGTCGGTTTTTATTTCATTTTTAAAGTTTTTATTTGTACATTTTTAGTGTAGACTTATAGGCATGTTATTTGTTAGAAGAAAGTTTTTTAATAACATTTTCGATTAAGCAATTTATTTAAAAAAATAATTTAAGTATTTGTTGATTTAAAAAAAAACGCTTGACCGGTTTTGATAAAATTTATATGGGACCACCTGGGAAGTATACCCTTTGAAACAAAAAAAATATTTCCAAATCGGTTGAGGCGTCTTCGAGTAATCGGTGAACATATATAAAAAAAAAGATTCCGATGAATTGAGAACCTCCTCCTTTTTGGAAGTCGGCTAAAAATACATCTAAATGCCTAAAAAACAACAAACATAAATTAAAGATGTTAATGTATTCAAACTATGGCCGTGGATTAGAAGGGTGACCGTAGTTTAGACGAGGTCAGACCAACCTTTTGTATATTAATCCCCTAAAGTGGGGCTTTTAATACCCTAAGCGGTAATTCGATTACAATACATTGAACCACAAATTCGTTCTTTCTATAGATAGGTCGAGTGCTAAAATATCTTTGTTCTTTTGTGTACATTTTAATGATCTAATAACTGAGCACTTGTTGTATGTTTATTGTAGGTAATATGTATGCGTAAATTAATTAGTTTTTTTTTGTTTTTATATAATATCTACACTAATATTATAATGAGGTAGTTCGTAATTTTGTAATGTTGTAAAGTAGGGGATAAAAAACTTTGAAACTATTGATTCTAAATATTTTATTACTAATGGGTAACTACATAATCACCGAGTGCTATATGCTATTTTTTATTCGATAGGTAAACCTATATGTCAGTTATCAATAAACATATGTTTACTGTTAGAAATCAAATCAATCAATAAATGTTATTGAAGTTCGAATAAACTGGTCGTTGAGTTGCTTTATTTACGCTGCCTAAACGATATGAAATAAAGTAATAATATCATAAATACAAAAGGCGCTTAAGGACGCACCCAATCGAAGCGAGGGTAAATCGCTAGTACCTTCTACAATGTAGATAACATGAAGTTAAACTATTTTTCATATATTATTATTTGTAAAGACGTAGTAAGTTGGAAGGAGGCGGCAACAGGACGCCGGAAGACACCGCAGTGTTTGCCATAGTAGCTTGGCGGTAAGCCAAATATTTATTCATAAAACGAACCAAAATCGCTAAGCAATGACAACAAAATACCTAGTTTTAAAACCGAAACACCCCGCGCTAGGATGTTTTATGACGCTAATTTCAAGATGCAAAATAAAAACCTGCCTACTGTACTACGCAATTTTAATACGAAATATACATATACAGATTCACAATTGTATATTTTTAGATAGTTTAGGCATAGAAAAATACATACATAGTACGCTAA